GCGCTCGTGGGCACTCAGGGGTGGCTCAGGGGTCACTCAGGGGTCACTCAGGGGTCACTCAGGGTCACTCAGGGGTCACTCAGGGTCACTCAGGGTCACTCAGGGGTCACTCAGGGGTCACTCAGGGGTCACTCAGGGGTCACTCGGGTCACTCAGGGGTCACTCAGGGGTCACTCAGGGGTCACTCACCCAAGGCCAGGCTCAGGTTCTCGCCCATCCCGAGCAGCTGCGCGAAGCAAACGGCGCCACCAGGGGGCGCCCTCGGGAGCCTGGGGGGGCCAAAATCACCCCAAAATCACCCCAAAATTACACCAAAATCACCTGAACTCTGCCCAAAATCACCCCAGAATTACACCCCAATTCACCCCAATTCACCCCAAAATCACCCCAAAAATCGCACCCAAAATCACCCCAGAATTACACCCAGAATCATCCGAATTCACCCCAAAATCGCACCAAAAATCACCCCAAAATCACCCAAAATCACCCGAATTCACCCCAAAATCACCTGAATTCACCCCAAAATTACACCAAAATCACTCAAAAATTACACCCAAAATCAGCCCAAATCCAGCCCAAAACCACACCCGAATTCACCCCAAAATCACCCGAATTCACCCCAAAATCACCGGAATTCACCCCAAAATCACCCGAATTCACCCCAAAATCACCGGAATTCACCCCAAAACCACCCCAAAACTGACTCAAATTAACCCAAATTTGCCGCCAGAGTTACCCCAAAAATTACCAAAAATCAGAAATAATTCCTCAAGAAATCACCAAAAAAAATCCCCCCAAAACCCCAAAAATCACCAAAAACAATTTCCAAAAAACCCCAAAAAAAAAAATTCCAAAAATTTATAAAAAAAAATCACCAAAAATTAAAAAAAAAAAATCCTTTCAAATCACCAAAAATATAAAAAAAAAATCAGGAAAAAAATCATTTAAAAATCATTAAAAACTCCCAAAAAAATCACAAAAAGTCATTAAAAATCATTAAAAAATCATTAAAAAATCATTTAAAATTCATTTAAAAATCATTAAAAAATCACAAAAAAATCATTAAAAAATAATTAAAAAATCACCAAATAATCATTAAAAAGTCATTAAGAAAACACAAAAAAATCATTAAAAAATCATTAAAATTCATTAAAGAATCATTAAAAAATCACAAAAAATCACAAAAAATCATTAAAAATCATTAAAAAATCATTAAAAAAATCTCCAAAAAATCATTAAAAAATCATTAAAAAATTACAAAAAAATCATTAAAAATCATTAAAAATCATTAAAAAATCATTTAAAATTCATTTAAAAATCATTAAAAAATCACAAAAAATCACAAAAAAATCATTAAAAAAATCATTTTAAAATCACCAAAAAATCACTAAAAAATCATTAAAAAAATCACAAAAAATCACCAAAAAATCACCAAAAAAACACAAAAAATCATTAAAAAATCACAAAAAAATCATTTAAAAATCACCAAAAAATCATTAAAAAATCACAAAAAAAATCATTAAAAAATCACCAAAAAATCATTAAAAAATCCCCCCAGAACTCCCAAGTGCTGCCGGTCCCCGCTGTCACCTGTCCAGCACGTCCAGGACCGAGGCCTCGTTGTGCGTGGCCACCATCAGCGAGAGGCGCGAGCCCGGCTGGGCCAGCGTGGCCAGGAGCAGCTGCAGGCAGCGCCCGTAGCTGGGGAGGGAAACCAGCCCCGAAATCAGCCAAAACCGACCCAAAATCTGCACAAACCGACCCAAAATCTGCACAAACCGACCCAAAATCTGCCAAAACCGACCCAAAATCAGCCAAAACCGACCCAAAATCAGCCAAAACCGACCCAAAATCAGCACAAACCGACCCAAAATCAGCCAAAACCGACCCAAAATCTGCACAAACCGACCCAAAATCAGCCAAAACCGACCCCAAATCAGCCAAAACCGACCCAAAATCAGCCAAAACCGACCCAAAATCAGCCAAAACCGACCCAAAATCAGCCAAAACCGACCCAAAATC